TTCCTAGTCTAGTTACTGAGTTTTTCTATGTTTTCTTTCCTAGAGTTTTTGGTCGAGGGATCTACAGGGAAGAGTTGATTGTTAATACTGTAATTCACTATTATGTTTTGTATTCTGATAAGTTTGACAAATTACAGCATAAAAGTCTTCTATAAAACAAATTTATGTATCAAAATTATAATTTTCAGTTTTAATATTTAATTTTTCAATATTATCAACTTTAACTACTATAAGTATATGAATAACCTAATGTTTAAACTTTAAATTTCATGTGTACTTGTAGAGTTTTATAAAAATGTCAAATGACAATTATATTTTGAATGATCTATAATATTTCTTTCATTTTTTTGATTGCTTATATAATAATTTACTATTGTATTAAAGATTTAAAATGAAAGAAATAAAAAAATTAATAAATTATTTGAAGTCATATTAAATAAAAAAAAGATGATTAAAATTAAAATTTTATTTTTATTTTATTTATATATTTTTTTTACAAAATCAATATTAAAATCAGTTATGCTTGGCAAATTTTTTTCATTGATGCATTAACAAAACAATAAGTTTTTTTATTAATGAATTAACAAATCATAAAGTTTTATAAAGTCATGTGAGTTTCATTAGTTTTATTAAAATTAATGCAGTCAAATTTGATATATGTTATATTTTAATAATATAAATTCTAAACTGACATATGTCAATTTAGAATCAATATAAAGTCTAAAATAATGTATTACATCATTACCATTTATTTAGCAGATTTCAGAAACATATTTCAGCTCTAATATTATTATTATATGTATATAACAAAAATAATCAGAATTATTATCAGTATGTTCTTTTCTAGCATTATTTTATTAAGTGACTTTTAATACTACATAAATTTATAACAAAATAGATGTTTAACATGAGTTAAATTATTTAATTATAAATATATTTATAAGAATTTTAATAGTAAAAAGAAACAATAAAAAAAAATAAGTTTGATATGATAATTATTAGTTTTATTGATTTTGGGGCTTAGTTTAATAGATTCATTATACAGTTAATATATATATTATATAATAATTAAATAGTAATTCAGATTTTTAATTTTGGCCCAATTTTAAACATATGCTAGAATGTTCATAATCATTTTTAACAACATTTGATCAATTTTAGATGAATTATAATATATCAATAATAATTAATACTAAGTATTACTATTTTTTGCATGAAGATGTTTTATAACAAATTCATGGCTTCATTAAGCAAAGCCTGAAAAAATATTCTTCAGGTGCTATTAATATCTTTATCTATTTTTATATCACAATTTTTGGATTTGTATGTTTTTGATTTTTCAATATTCTGAATGCTTTTGCACCAACTACATGTCTTTGACATATAAGCCTTATTTTGAATTATTATATGAATTTCTTTTTCTTCTACTTTTGAATCAATTATTATCAAAACTTATAATAAGACTAGCAAAGCATCTTTCTAACTGTTTTTCTTATTATCTTTTGTGTTTTTCTGTTTACTATATCTGAAATATTAAAAGAAGAAATAACAATTATATCAAATTTATTTGTTAAGAACTTGATTGTTTTTTAATAGATTTTATCTTGCAGTTGTCTGATTTTTCATTGTATATGAAAGATGGCTTTGTCAATATGTAATGCTTTCTTCTTCTTTTATTTTAAGATTGAAGATGCCAAATTGTTTTTTTTGATTTTAGATCATCTATATGTTTATATAAATGAAAAATACATTTTATATTATGTTCTATTATCTTTTTTACATCTTTTGTAGAAAAATACTATATGAATAAAGTATGAACATCTGGATCAATTGAAACTACATGAATATTTGATTGTGTTTCATAGATTTGTTTATGTACTTCATATATCTAATAAAATATCTATTTATTTGTTTTATATATATACATAAGTTTACAATTATAATCTATCTTTTATGATAGTTATTTATTATGTTTTCTTTTTTTTCAAAATAAAACAAATGCAAGTTATATTTTCTATTCTGTAATTTATTGGGTTTGCATTGTTTTAATGATAAAATCAAAGAATTATGAAGATATATAATATAAAAATATTTTTAATCTTTTTTTAAAAAGTTTTACATACAAATAGTTATTGTCTATCATAAATCTTTCTTAAATTTAAATAATAATAATGATTTTTGTTTTTTTTTAAATTTTTTTGTATTATATTTTTCTAACTATCAAAACTTTATTAATACTTTCATCAATTATATTTGCAAATACTTTATTATATAAATCTTTAATATGTAATTCTAACTATACAACTGTTCGAAAAAATTTGTGTTCTTCCTATATACATAATTTCTATAATTTTTTCTCTTTTTTATTAATATCTTTTTCTTCTTTTATATTTATATATAATTTAAGTTTTTTATTGAGTATATAAGATTTTATCTATTCAAAATTTTTAAAACTATTACAAAAATGATAATTTTTGTTCCATCTAGTAATAGTATTATAAGTATATCTTATCAAACCTAGCCATCTTTTCAATGTCTTTTTTTGAAAATGATTTGAATATAGTTTGATTAATAACATTTAATTTATAGTAGTTTTGATTTTTCATTTTTTTTTGCTTCATGTTTTTATTATTTTTATTTTTCATTGGTTTTTGTTTGTTTTGATATTTAGTTGCTCTTCTTCTTTGTATTTGACAGATAAAGATAATGTTAATTGCAAGGATATCTTATAATAATTCATGCTCATCAGAACTTGATTCATTGAAAAGAACCATGAGTTTTGTAAAGTGTACTGAGAACATATATTTAATGAGATCAAATGCAAATATGCAGAGTTGATCATAATGGGTAACCATAATTTCTAAGACCATTTCTTTACTTGATCATTCCAGTAAAATTTTAAGTTTATTTCTTTTAAAGTTGATACCTGACCTGATATCACTGACAAGCTCATAATTCAGGGATTTGGATTTAAAAATCTGTTTCTGTCTTTTGAGATCTTCTTTTTGTTTGTTGCTTAAGACATGTACGTATAGAAAACCTTTCTTTCCAGTAACGGAGGTGGTTGAGATATCATTTTAAGTAATCAACTCTGGTAAAAAAGAAGAAATATCATAGAGATGAGTCCTGGATGAAGACGTTTTCGCAGATATTTTTCCCTGTCTTAACCAACGTCTTAAAGTATCAGATGAAATTCCAAATTCCTTGGTTGTTTTATGAGCAGATGAATACATGAGAAATTTTCTGATTTTAATAACATGACCTAACAAAAATGTGTTTCTTTTATCAATCTAATCTAATAGCATAACGATAACGATATAACAATAATAAGTGTTCCTAAGTAATTCATTATGTTATTTATTCATATGCATTACTAATTAAAAATTTTATGCGGTATGTTATTTTTTCATCAATGCTAATGAAATGAAAACTGAAAATGCTCTACCCCAATCTTCAAAAGAAAAGACTGATGCTACAGACTAAACAATGTTCAACCAATCCTACTTCTAGAAACCTTTTGTAAAACAATAATATACATAATGAAAAAAAGTCCTAAAGGAGAAAAGAATATTCAAGAAAAGAAACTTCACAGAGCTATTAGAAGAAGGAACTACAGCAACAATACACTTATAAAACGTCGCCGTTTATCTAGTTATTGGTATGATTTACTCCCAACGGTATGCATCTGTGGATTGCCTGTTTTAAGATTTGAATGCACCAAGCTGGTTTCACAACCTTAAGTCAGTTAGGAACATCTAGCAACTGATGAATATCACAGTTGAAATAAGGTTATTAAACACAATGACAAAACATGTAGGTAGGTAGGTACGTACAAGATAAATCTGTTTATTCTCTGTTATTCAAACTTTTAATATCAACATAAGGTCGTTTTTGTGTTTGTGTGCTTCACCAATATACGTTTCATACTGCAACAAGTCCATCATCTTAACCAGTAGTAAGTTTTGTAACTTCCACACTTGAGAAAGAGATGAAAAGTGATTGGCCTTTTCTCATGCTATAAAATGTGATAATAAATTTCACACCTGAAAATAGACGTTTTCTTGAGACATAAAAATAGATATGCAAAACCAAAACAAATAGTTTTATAGATAATAGAGTTCGCCTAGAAAGGGAGTGAGTACTGGGGGTAACTTGACACGTATCACAAAAGTCAAACAACCACAATCCATCTCCAGACGAAAATAGAGGACCCATCTCTGGACATAGCAGAGGAGTCTCTCAAATGCAAAATGAAAGGAAATTACATTTTTCACATGATTTGATTCTTCCATTTGAAATATCCAAATACAGAAGTTTACGCTCACATTATTATTCAAATGAAGCTTATATTTCAAAAAAAAACGTGCAGATGTTGTGGAATTCTACAATAGAGACGTTTAAGGTGTACAACTGCTATAATTGTAAAGATGAGATTGGGAAGCTTGGGAAAGTCACTTGCGATTTACTTATTTACGCCCGTGATACAATGTCATAAAAAGGAAAGACTATATATTTAAAATTAGAAATTTCAGAATTTAGGATTAGTGAAAAAGTGCTACATATGTGAGTGCATACGTACCGGTACATACGTACGTAGCCGACATTTTTAAACGCAGTAAACGTTAATTAATGTCCCATAATCAGGTTTATTCACATATTTTTTCCGCATTTTTCGTTTTTGTGCGGTGGAATTCGTGCAGGGCCGATCGAATGATCAAATTATACACACCCTATTGGTCATTTGCTTTGTGTCACCGGCGCAAGTAAGTACACGCGCTCCATGAAACCTTGATATTTTCCGATGATCCTACAGGAAATAAATGTCCAGTTGGTATTTTAACTCACTTCGTGATCGATCAATACAGCTTTGGCTTATATAATGTATTAGTGTAATATAAACAAATACTTAGCCTTTTACTTAATGATCATCCATCTTTAACCTTTGTGATATATGATATGAAACAAAGGATCGTTTAATTCGCCACGATATGCCATAAATTGGTTTGGAGATCGTCAAATATATTTTGCATTAATGAAATTCCAAATTAAACCAAATTATTTGTTTCTTCATAAGTTCGTACCTAAAAGTCAAGCAAATAAACAAGTTTAATCCATCCCCAATATATTTTCCCCCCAAAAAAACGTTTTCTATGAGTTTGGTGAAAGTTAATTGGTTTATTAGTACAAGTGTTATACATGGTTGATACTTGGTCTATAGATAGAAACAAAAAATTAAGAACTCAAAGAATATGGTATGGTAGTGACGCATGTTTACTTCTTGTGTATGTGCTTACTTTCGGAAAACCATTTAGGTTACAAGTGTGGGTTTATAGTTACTTTTCCTGATATGAACAAATGAGATGATTATTATTATGATATTGAGTAATAGCTCTTCCCGGCATAAACCGTATTTTGTAACAAATAGATTAAATATCTTAATACAGCAATAGTAGTGATTATTTATTTTATTGCGTATTTATCACATAACAATGATGCTCTAAGATCGACTACTCATATTCATTCATCTTTGTTCTTATTACTACCAGATAACGCAAAGTAGATAAACAGATAATCTTTGAGAAACGGTGTGCAACAACTTAATAAAATTTTGTGGCTAAACTAAATTTTAACTGACTATCTAAGATAAAAAGGGCTCATCTAATATCTATTGCATCCCAATAAGGTTCGCCATTACGCCATCTTGTTTATTCAATGTCTTAAGTTTTTAACGCCTCGTGAACTTTTCGTTTCTTTTAACTTCTTTCAATTTCATCTGTTCCCTATCCTTCGGTACCTACCACAATTGTACTAAAACATCCTCTTTCTACTCTATCTAAAAATATTATCGTTTTAATTTTTTGGATAAGAATGAAAGATAATAATACAAATGTTGGGTCGATTAAACCGGTTATTTATCACAATAAAAGATTTCATTATGTAGAAGAAGATACTGCTGTGAACTTTCATTTCGATACCGATTATGCATTATTTCAAATTTATAAATTAAAGGTATCTTTCTTTTCTTTTCTCGGTTTCTCTGTTTTCATTCATGTATCATTTTATGTTGCTAAGAAATTATTATATATTATGTATTATATGTAATATGTAATTAAATAGGGTACTAAAAATGATTTTGCCGAAGCTATTACCAGTTTAGCTGGTCCAGCGAGTGCTGTAGCATTCCTTAATGATTTTGAAAGAACCTATCCAAGGCATTCTGATCATAGGATAGAACTTAGAGTCAATTCACCTATTGAACAATCCAATACTGATAGATTAAAGGTAATATTTTAAAAACTGGAGGGTTTTTTTTTTCTTTGAAAAATTATTAATATAACTTAGATATATATATATTTTAATACTATAATATAAATTCCTCTTTGTATTTATAATTTGTAGATAAAAATAAAGTTTAGTAACATATCCCATATGAATTTAATGGAAGCATTTCGAACCTCCCCAGTCATTGAATGCCTTACAGAAAATGGTTTCGCTGATTGGGTTCCATTGGACAGTTCAAGTTACGAATGTATCATTAAAATGGCGCAAGCATCATCTCATGAAAACAAATTGACAAAAACTGAAGATTGGAATTATTCTATTTTACGCACTCTAAGTGATCCTATTGATTCGTTATTATTGGATGTAGCATTAGACTTTCTAATGGACGATTTGGAAATTGGTACATTTGAAAAATTATTCCCCGGACCAATCATGGACGTTGACCGAGGTGTAAACGGTGTTGTCATGACCGTATTACAAACTAAAGAAAGGCACTCTTTTGATGAAGATGTAGGCAAAATATTTATTGAAGTATTAAATTCTCTGATTCATGACAGAAGAGTTGAAAAAAATTTTGATAAGGTTTTATATCATTATTTAATCCTTTCCATATTAGTTTTATTTATTCCCCTCATAATATTTACTTTAATCTTATAATTTATTATCTTAGAGAATATACGATTCGTACTTCTCATTAGTCGTTCGCATATTTAATTTGATACGTGATTTAATTCATCTAAATGAAATTTATGAAGACTTTCATTCGCCTACTGTATGTCCTCTACTTTCAGGCTCAATCAAATATATGAAAATCAAATATATTGAGTCTCTAACAGATCTCGAGAAAGCTCTTACTGATATAGGGTTTGATAAATTTGAAGGCATGTTATATTATTTGGTCTTTGTTATTTTATTAAATATGAATTTTTAATAAGTTCTTTTAAATTTTTCTTTACAGATCGACTTCAAGAACTTACTATGATGGTACGCGAGATAGATCGTAATTTAGACTGTGCATATAAAAATTTACAAAATGATATAGAGAAATGGAAGAAACGTAAGAATGTGTCAAATTGCTTTTACATTTTATCAATGTACATATAAGATTTATATAATAATATTATTATTAATTTAACAGTTATAAGAATATAATATCTAACAAAATTTTATTTTATTATGTAGACTTATAGCTATAGCATTTCCTTCAATATATCATTATTACCGACAAACTGAAAATGCTCCTTTTGGATTTGTAACGGTAACTATTTACAACGTTAGTTAGGTCATAATTTTTTTTTAAAAAAAATAATCGGAACTAATTGACTTCTTTTTTTTTTTTTTTTTGCAAACAGACTGTAATTGGTTGTGTTATAAGTCTACTATTTGCACTTTGGCATGGTTGGTCACGTAACAGTTATAGCAAAGCAATACACTCACACAGAAAAGCAATACCTGTTCATGGAGCAGTGGCAAATAGCATAGAATCATTACAAAGATGGTTAAATAGAATTTCTGTTGTGAAAAAATGTAAAGTTCCAATGAATAATAATGAGTTAGCAGGTAGAAAAATTACTTTGATTTATTTATTTGATGAGCTAGTGTCTGCAGCTGCTGATATGAGATTGAGTATTGGATTGGAAGATGAATTCAAAAGACATAGATAAAAAGAATGTGATATAAGATTTTTACTTTTGAAAAGAAAATATGAAATGAAAAAAGAAGTGACAAATTGACCTGGAATGAAGAACCCGAAATGAAATACTTGGGTTTTTAACGGTAGATGACATTTTGTGTATTATGCATAAAGAACTTTGTGTATATTGCGTTGTAAATTTACATTATTTATTACATATAGATACTAATTATCATTGAATTCAATTTGAATGCATTAATGAATTAAACAATAGGTATATGACCAAGCAAACAATTATTTATTTATTTATTTATTTGCATAATAGATATCAACATTTGTTAGTAGAGGTTAATTATAATGAGAGATGGCGTAACAAAAACCAAAACTTAGAAGACTGGATATATAATTATATAATAAGATAGTATAAAAAAGCACTTATTATCTTCTGAGTTAATAAGCCATAGTTCGTAGTGTTGAATCGATTATTGTTTTAATTTTTTAATAAAGAAAAACATAATTTATTGCAGTGTAATGAATTGTTACTTCACGTACTTGAAAACTAATTTTACTGTATTAAGTAATATTGTCAAATTCAACCGAATTAAATTAAAATGAAAAATTTCCTGTTTTAATTTTAAAATTACGTGTCGTAATAAATTTTTGGGGATGCTGTTTTAGGGTTTTGGATTTTTGAATTCAGGGTTAAGATTGTTAAAGAAACCAAATTTTATTCTAGTTTGATTTCGTTATGATCTGCAACAATTAATAAATGATTTCTACGCTCAGAATAAATAAGAAGCTAAAAAAGAAATGAATAGCTTATCTTAAAAACAAATAAATGTGATTAAGAAACAAAGTAAGTGCTTATCTTTATTTCTTTGATATATGATCATTATTATACTCACAAGCTAAATCAACGCAAATAAGAAAAAATGTGAATAAACTGCCTAAAATAATTCAATTGACTAGACTAAATCTAACATGATAATTGGCATCTTTATGAAATTGCAACTTCAAGCGCTTGAAGTTTCACTAACTAAAAAATTAGCCCCTGAGATCTTCTTACATACATTAGTTAGGATCTTCTTGCATGCATTAGTTAGTAATTTAGGCAAGCTTAACTTCGGGCTACTTCAAGCAGATGCTAATTTCAAGCATGATAAATACTAGACTTGATTATTCTTAAGAAATTGACATATTTGGTATAGATAGACTATAATTTTAAAAACAAGTCTTCTTGAAGAATTTTTACAGGAGGATCCCAAAATTTCCGGATCGGATCCATCGGATTTAGGTCAACCCAGGTACGGTTGGGTTACCGAACGATCAGAAGAGAACATAAAATACAGCAGTTGTTGCATACTTCGCATGCAATAACTATATATTATTAACCAAAATTTAGAATTATCAAATTTGATTCTGAAATAATGCTTAATACTTGTATATTATTGTAACTAGAGTATTGTCATCATTATAAAGATTTTTAATTTTAATAATAACAATATAAAAAACATATATAAATATACAGTATTTTCAAATTATTGCAATATGTTATTATTTCAAAGGCCTGAATCCTATAAAAGAAATAGCATACAAGAAAACAAAAATATAATACAAAGTAACAAAAAGGAATGCAAAAAGTAAATACAAGAAAATGCATTGATATACATGGTAGATAGAATTGAATCTGGTCTAAAAGATCAGAATATGCTATTTAAATTTGTAAACTTAGTTAATGGTTGAATTGGTTAACCAATTTTTAGCTCAACTTATTGTACTAATATAAATAACATTATGCCTCGTAAATAAGTAACTCTTTAACGACAAAATCTTTTGCAAAATTATCCTCTTTCGTATCAAAAGCCATTTCCAAATCATCCCATGCCTCATCGTATCGACGAACAACATCTCTTAAAATAATACTTCTTTCACATAACGCGATAAAATTCGTTGGATCTGCTTCCAGTACTTTATTTAAATCTTCAAGCGCTTTTTGATATTGTTCCATAGATCTATAAAGTACTGCTCGACGTTCGTATGCTTTTATTCGACTCCATGTGTTTAACTCATTTGTTTGCTTGAACTTTATCGCATTACTCAAATCAAACATTGCTTCCTTATTTTTTCCCAAGGCCCGATACACTTCTCCACGCATCATAAGTACAAAACACATATTTCCACAACTTGGTGCCGAATGTGCTTTATTAAGATCTTCTAATGCTTCCTCATAACGTTCAATCGCATGATACACTTCGGAACGGATGCAAAGTGCAAAGAAATTTGTTGGATTTATGCTTAAAACATTGTCCAAATCAACTAATGCTTCTTCATATCTTAAAAGTTTGAAGAAAAGATGTGCTCTATTCTCTAAACCTTCAACATTTTTTGGTGAAATTTTTAATACTTGATTCCAATCAGCAAGTGCTTCTTGCCACTTTGATAATATTTGAAGAGTTTTTGCCCGATGGTTTAAAATGGAAATGTCATTTTCTGGTCTAAATTGTACCGCTAAATTATAATCTTGTAAAGCAGATTGATACTGTTTTAGTTTCACATATAAAGAAGCTCTAAGGTCTAATGCTTTCGCATTATGACCATCGAATTCCAATGCATGTTTTAGATCCTGAAATGCCTCATTTATGTGTTCCATCGCAATATAGGTTTCTACACGATCACAATAAACATTGACGTTATTTGGTTTAAGTAAAAGCGATTTGTCAAAATCTACAAGAGCTTTCCCATATTCTTTAAGCATTGTCAAAGCTCTTCCGCGATGCCTGTGGGTAGATGCGTGCCCTTCAGGTCTTCCATTCCATAATGATTTTAATGACGCGTCAAAGTCATCTTTTGCGGCTTTATAATTATTTAACAAAAGAAAAACTTTTCCACGATTTCTAAGTAAACGTGGGTTATTCAGTTCAATATCAATCGCTTCATTCAAATCAGCCAGGGCAGCATCATAATTCAGAAGCATGCGATGAACTTTAGCACGATTCAACAGAGCATTAACATTTCTGGGTTGATTTTTTACAACAAAATCTAAATCAATCAATGCATTTGTATATTGCTTCATATTACGCAACACATCACCACGGTTTACACGTGATGTAATATCAAATGGATTATCGTTTAATATTTTATTCAAACCATCTAACGCGTTATCGTACTTTTTCAGTATCGCGTAAACTTGATTACGTAGAGATTCAGCACTTTTATCAAGTGGATCGATTATTAATGCTTGATCTAAATCAGATAAAGCCTCAGTAGGCTGTAATAAAGTATGATAGATTTCAGCTCTTTTCCTATAAGTCGAAGCTTTTCTATCAAATTTAATCGCCTCAGTGTAATCTGAGAGTGCTTCTTGGTAACGTGACAAACATCTATAAGCTCTTGCACGATTTCTAAAAATTCTTGCAACATCTGAATACTTTAACTTTAAAAGTTCATTAAAATCCTTTAATGCATCTTCATACCGAGCTTGAGCTTGATAAATTTTTCCCCGGTTTAAGAGAAGTTGAAGATCTATTCGTTTTGATAACCTCATTGCATTCGTATAATCCTTTAATGCGGCGTCATATCTTCCGAGTTTTTTATATAAAGAACCCCTTGAACTTAGAACATCTGGATTATCTGATTCAATTTTTAAAAAAGCATTAAAGTCATCAAGAGCGTCCAAGTATCTTTGGAGTTTAATGTTTATTTGGCCACGTGCTTGTAAGGTCATCGAATCACATGGAGAAGATTTCAACACTCTATTAAAACAATCTAAAGCATCATAATAATTTTCTTCTAATACCATTATTTCACCATAAATTCTAGTTGCGCTAATCCAAAAGTTGATTCGATCATTTTCATCAGGCTTTAATGATGAAAGCCCTTTATTTAAATCATTTTTCGCGGATTCATAGTCTTTTTTATAGTAAAATGTTTCACCTCTAAGTAATAAGGCACGTGATTTTTCTGGATTTTTTTTAATAGCGTAATCAAAATCATGTAATGCCTCCGTTAAATTACCAAGTTTTTTCGATGCCAGACCCCTATCACATCGAAGTGAATAGCTATTTGGATAAGATTTAATTAATCGTGTTAAGCAATCCTTTGCTTCTTGGTAATGACCAGACTCCAAAGCTTTGGATGCTTTGTAAAGATTGGGATTTAGGATTTTTGGAGGCTTAATAACGCCCGATAATCTTGAACGAGGTTTGGTGATAGGATCCATGGGAGTATCGTATGACACCGCAGGAACTATATTGCCAAAATTACCGTCAATACTGGTGGGGCCTGATGAATGTATTATATTTAACATTCTGTTATTAGGATTGTAAATATTCTGATTTCTAATGATAAAAAAAATAAAAAATAAATTTGTTTAAATATTGATTCAAATAATATCATATGGAAATAGTGTTTGTAGTTGAGAAAATTTTTATAAGCTTAGTCGAGTCGATAATTTTAATTAAACTTAGTCGGCTTAGTCAACTATTATCATATGCAGCATAGCACTTACAGCTGTTCTTATTAATTCTGGAACAACCGATAATGATTTACTCAAATCTGCAAATGATTTGTTCATTTCTCCACGACTTTTAATAATTCTACATTATTTGGTTCGATCTTTAATGAAAAAGACTGTTCATATCCACTCATCATATGATATTTTATTCTATAAATTCTTAACGCAATTGCTCTCGTTAATGATTTATATGATTCTTTGCACCGTATTTTCGCGTAATAACGCGCAGGATGTAATTTCTAATTTTGGCCTAAATTAAACTTAATTTGGGCCAAAGTAGAAATAACGCTCATGGGCGTTATTACGCGCAAATATAGTATTTTTCATTATACTATATGTTTCTCCACATAATTTTCACTATTTAGTTCGATGTTTAATAATTCATTTAGATAAATCTTCAACTGACTCTATCATGCGATAAGTTATGCCACAGTCATATAAATAAATGAAGTTTGTGATATGAAATACGTACGTATGTACTGTATATGCAAACATATAATTTTTTTAACACTTTATCATATGATTGTTATAATTACTTTGATCCAAAATTAATAACGATTGAGTCTTAAACAAATATTTATCCTCATGCTAATGCTGATATACTTGTTTAAAAAATCGACTTAGTCGACTGATGCTATATCGACTTGAAACACAATATAGAAAGTTTATTGCGTTATGGATATATAGATATACATTTTTAGATACGTACGAACCTGTGTCGTGTCCGTTTTTCCTTGGGCTAAACACTCGTTAACTATGATTAACGTTAATGAAAGACGTTTTTGGGCGTTACTAAACCTTCATGTGAAAAATGACAGAAAAGGTGGCGTGGCAAACAAAAAAGAAAAATCAATACTTTCAAATTCAAAAATGTACCGAGAGTATTTATCGTTATTTTAGTCATTTAGCACAAATAAAATCTGTCCTACTTGTTCGTCCTTTTTAACTGGAAGCAAATGTGCTTATGAATTTACCTTATTTATCTGCATGTACAAGTTATCAATCCTGCAAGCTTTGACAAAGCATCTTTTCATCCGAAATATAAACAAATAAGAATATTGGTATATCTTAGTTCCACTAGACACCAGTCAGTCGAACTATCGACATGCAGCATGTGGATATGTTAAATATCTCTAAAACTGCAATTAAGGTGTGATCTTTAGATGCATAGATATGTATAGATGCATGAAATTGTTCTGTGTAAGGAACCACACCAAAATTCAAGATGTACGATTTGTTTACAAATGCAATTAAACCATAATATTAATTTTAATCATGTAAATCTATAAGGGGATTTTTTTTATTCAGAAGAAAGAAAAAAAAGAATTAAATCTTTGTAATCCTTGTACACAATAATAGTCTAACTAAAAAATAAATTTAGATTTATACATTCACTTCTCAGAAGAGAGAATTGATGCAATATCTATATGGATTTTCAAACATGAGAGATAATACTGGACGTCGATAGGTTATTTAAAATTGATGTTCAGTAAATCTTTTTTTGAAATGGTCATACGTCTCCATATTTAGATATATAATGTATGATAAATAAAACAAACTTACTAAGTTTGCTGAATATTACGTGATGGTATAGTCACGCGTCGTACCTATCCTGTAAACATTTAAACCCTTGGCGATCATTACATAATGCATAGCGTGTACTTTATCGATATAATAAATCTTTCTTTTAGCGAAGTAAAAGATATTGTCTTAGGGGTACTACTGTATAATAAGTGTTGTAAAATAGTTCAATTTCTGAGAGAATTATTGGTTAAACACAACTATTTCTTACAACTTATTTGAGATTATTGTTTAGATCAGAATTAAATCAAATCTAAAAGTTAATTAAATAAATCTAAAAAAGTCTTGATTTGAAGCGTTCTCAAGCAGCTCCTTCAATGTAATTTGACTCCTGTAATGATGTGGTAAAAATTCGTTGTATGGAATTCGGATTTTAAGGGTAGAGTAAATGTAGATCATTTTATCATATAATTTGCATGATCCGATTAAAATTTTTATAAAAAATTGAAAGATGTTATTAATAAAACTTTTTAGACAAATTATAAATGGTGATCCGTTGCCGTGGCGATCCTATATATAGCAACCAATCATATCTAGTGTTAGTAAAATTTATTTTTTATTTTTTATTATAAAATTTGGAAAATTTGTAGTTAATTTTAGTTAGTTAATAGTAAACAACTTATTATATAGTCACATGCCTAATTTTGATTGGTCAATTATATAGGGTCATCATGATTAATTTTTATTAAAATTTTATAATAAATATATTAAATTATATTTTTTACAATAATATAAAATCACCGTTAATATTTAAAAAAAAAAAAACAATAATATAAAATTTAATAATCAAAATATTTAAAATATATACTTGTATATATTGTAAAGTTTTTTGTAATGATTTTAAATTTCTGTAGTTATATAAAATTGGTAATTTTGATTAATTTATATTACATGATTATCATATAAAAATAATACCTAATTTTTAAATATATATTTCTTATTAAATATTTAATCTATTTTAATGATTTTATTATTATTATAATCAAAAAAACTTATTCTACAAATTTTATTTAAAAATCTAAAATAATTAACTTAATAAAAATTTTTAAAATGGGGTGTGGTAACCTAATGAAGTGGTCAGGTTGTTAACCCCCAAGTGGCAAATTCAAAGTTCAAATCCTAGTGTTAACAGAAAATTTAAAAATCCTTTCTGTGTTATAGTTAAATGTTTCTTGCAATTGGTTAGAATAAAACACCTGTTATCTATATTACACCAGTATGACTAACAGGTTGCATGGCATTTGTATAACAGTTACATGATATTGTCCTTTGAGACAAGGTCTGTGGTTATATGAAGAAATGCAAACTAATACCAGGCAGTGCAAACCTACTGTTATAGAACGATTTATTATTATTTTATTAGTAGTTATTATTATTATTATTATATTATTATTATTATATTATTATT